GGATGTCTTCTATTAGAGTAGCCATCAGATGGTTGCTCTACTTTGAATTGAACCGTTTCTAAAATTACAGTTCAATATTTTTTAAGTTTAAAAGGAAATTTTTGAATCATGTGGTAATCTGCGATTTGTTGGGGCCTTTTTAGGTTCGTTTGATAAAACTGAATCTGAATTTTGAAGTTTGAATTCTGAATTCTGAATACTGAAACAATTAATTTGCTGAATTTTAAGTATTGAAAAGAAATATATGAATGTCTGAATTTTAATGTTAAACCTATTTATACTGTTTGATAAACATTTATAACTGAATGTTTAATAAGTTAAATTTGACAAATTTGCCCTTATATCTTTTCATCCAAAAAAGAAATAGAACCTATGATTTAATTAGTTAAAAATGTTAGGCATGAAAATGATAATATTTATTTTTAAATCAAATTAATATAAAAAATGAAATATATTATATGTGGAGTATGGAGAAGATGTGAAAATCATTCAAAAGGGAGAAAAAAGAAATAGAAAATCATTAGATAGAGAATATTAGATTGTTTAATTAGATAAGAATTTTGAACATAATTAACAAATAATGGTAGATTTGGTAGATAAGATAAGGTAATTGAAGTAATTCTATTGATTCCTATCAGAATTAAGCATTCAGTTAGGATTCTTATGCTGAAAAAAATACACACAAGTTCAGCACTACTTAACAAGTTCAGCAAATGAATTTTCATTTATCAAACACTCAAAACATCTGATTGTCTGAAAAAATTCAGATTCAGCACTTTTTTATGTTATCAAACAGACTCTTAGTCTGTTTCGGTGGAGCTAAAAACGGTGGAGTAAGCAAAAGTCAATTAACGGAAAATAAAGGACCTTTTGGTTGCAAGTTTGGTTAATTAAAAAAGGCAGGATAATACATGGAAAATTAGTGATAATTACTCTAAATATTAAAAAAATTCTTTCTTATGTCTAAATTGTTATTGTCTAATAAGCCATTTTTCTATAAAATTCTCACGACAAAGTGAAATAAAAAATTTGAAGTTTTCCTACTTACAAATCATTCGGAAAGATAAACATAATTAATTTTCTTTCATTTTGTCATACTTCCCCTTGTAACCTTACATTATTAGTTTTTAACTTTTTTTTGTGCAAAGCATAATTAGCCTATGAAATCGAACCAACAACCATGATGATAGTTTGATAGGTACTGCATACAAATTAGGTCGATTATTACTCTTGGTTTAGACATTGTTTGTGTTTATAATTTTGAGTCGTTATAAGATGATTATAAATTGACTGTATAAATACGGTAATTTAATTATTTAGAAAATAAAATGAATTCCAAATTTATTTGAATTTGTTCTATTCCACAAAAATATAAATTGCAAAGATATGGAAGCAAACAGAACAGTTTTGAAAATAGTTTTAAGATTATCGATAAAGTGATCTTGCTTATGCAAAATATCAAACACTAAATCTAAATCATATTGATTAGTGCTATGAGGTTGCAAAGTATACAAACATAGAAAAAGAGGGGCTAAATCCAGCCCTTAGTTTTTATACATTAAACCAAAACTTTTTGTAGCATTTAAGTTATCTCTCTCCATAATGAAAACAAGAACAATAATATCTTTTCCTAAGAAATATAAATTATATACCCTAGTTTTTATGTTAGTTCTACAGAGAAATTTCTTTCTATTTTATATCATTCTAATATTTATGTTTCTTTGAAGTTGCTTTAAAATATATAATTTTTCTACTTTCCTTTAATGAGCCTACTAACTTTATTTTGTTAAACCATTTTTTGTACTAATTTACACATAATCAAATGATAGACGATGTGAGGACCCGAAAAATTTCTTTATTTTATTTTATTTTATTTTATTTTTTCGAATACATTTTCGTTACTTTACCCTATTGCCTTCATTTTCTAGATATTTTTACAAGTGAGTCAAGTTTTTAAATCATTTTCCTTGTATAAATTAGTACATGTTAAATTCGTAATGTATTATGGAAGTGGAACCCACTAGTGAGGTATGTGCGATAAATTTTTGAAAAATATGAGGAGTTTTGTGCAAAGGGATATTATTTTATAAGTTGTTAAGAGATAATTAGAGGTTGGCTAGATATTTTAGTGATCGGAAAACAATAGGATGAGGATTAACCCTTAGAGGCCATTTGTCATTAAAGCATTGGACCATTGACTTTGACTAACACCTTTCTTAACCTTTTATTAACAAAAAATTGACCAAATATCCTATCATCTTCTCCCCTCTCTTGGCCTACTCCTTGGAGAGAAAAAAAGGAAGGAAAACTTCATCTTCAACCTCTAGTTCTTGCTTGAATCTTGAGTTTTCACCTTAATCTTGCAAATCACTCCATAAAAGTTGACACTTAGGGAGGATTAAGGGCTTTGGTGGAAAGATTTTGGAGAAAGAAGCACTTGGTTGCCATATCTTCATAGGGTTTCAAGGTAGGTATATCAAGATGCCCTCTTTTCTTTTAATACTTGCATAAGAGTGGATTTAGAGCTTGATTTTGGTAGTTTTCATAAGAAATTTCATGGTTTGAGTGGTGATTCAAAATTTTCAGTTTTGATGGTGAAATTTCAGCTTTTATATGATGCTTTGAGTTTGGCCATAATTTAGTAGCTTTGCCATGTGAATCTTCTAGCTTTCATAAGTTATTTTGGCTTGCTTATGGAAAATTTCAGCCTATAGTTGAAATTTTCAGCTTAGGATTTCAAATTTTAGCTTTGTTGTGGTTGATTTTGAGCTAGAAAATTTGATATTTTGAATGGTTTTGTGGCCTTAAACAAGAGTACTTTATAGCTTGTAACTTGTGGTTGTGATTGAGGTTGGATTGATATGAATATTGGTGTTGAGTTTGGATGGAAAAGTTAAGAAAATAAGAGGAAGTGTTGCTGAAAATTTTCCCACAGGAGACTCTAAGCAGTCTTGAAAAATCTGTTATATCTTGGTGTAGAAAAATCCAAATTGAGTTTCGCTTATTGCGTTTGAAACTAAATTTAGAGTACATTCTACCGTGAAAATTTCAGAATTTTTCTTAATTCCTATGAATATCTACACGATTTTCCAAAGTTGACTGAATTTTCACACCTGCTTTTTTTTTTCTACTTGATGAAACAGTAACTTGAAACTGGAATTCGACTGATTGATGGACAAAATTATACAAATATGTATTCTGGAAAATTGTAGTCCTTTGAATCTATTTTCCAATGGTATAAATTTTATAAATTTTGGACTTAAGAAACTTGTGATATGATTTTTCAAACAATGTCGTGCAAAACTGGAGAAAATTCTGTTTCCTAAACTTGTTCTTGCTTCCATTTCCAACTTTAAGTTGGAGTTGTTAAACCATTTTGAGCTTGGTTTTATGAGTGGAATTGAGGTTTAAATGAAAGGAAATAAGTTTCTTCAAATGATTTTAGGTCGGACAATTTTCAACTTTGTATTTTGAAAGTCTTGTTCTAATTTCTTCAAACGTTTGCTCTTGTACTCCAAATGACTTTTGCAACGTTGATTTAGTAAGCACATGAGGTTTCTTCCTCGATTTCAACAAGAAAATATTATATTTTGATAGGTTATACTGGCATAAAACTTGTAAATTGATGCATTTTCTAAATGAAGTTTTGAAACCTCAATTTCTTCATGTATTTTGGCTTTGTATTGCTAGTCTTTTAATATAGTATATGACCACAGGACTTGAGAGAATTCAAGAGGACGAACCAGGGTTAAAGTGAAGGGTTTCAATTGATTGGTGAGTGTTCCAATTCATGTTATTTGATTATGCATGACTTGAGAAAATGTTATTATTTGCTTAAGTGCTCTCCTTTGAATGACATGCTAATAAGTGAATGACTGTTGTGATTTTCTTATTTTGTTAATCTGCTATGAATGCATGTTCACATTGCATGAATGCGTGATAAATGTGCAAAAATGTAAGCTGATGTGTACTTTATCGCATCAGCTGAACTGAGCTTAACCCTATGCTGGCACCAGGGACGGAGCCAGAAATTTATTTTTGGGGGGGCTGAAGTGTATTAAAAATTTTTTTTTGTGACGAAATAAATATATTTAATAAGTAAAATTTAGAATCAATAATTATAAAAATAATAAAAACATATAATTATACATACCCAAAAATTTGTTATTGATTAACACTTGAAGTATTGGTAGTTGTTGCACTCGAATAACGAAGAGGAGGCAATTGCATTCTGCGAGTCTTCATCCGTTGAAAACGCTGCAATATTTGCTCATTTTCAATTGTTGCAAAAATATCCTTCTCGATGTATACAACCAGACAGTCATTCATCCACTCGTCTCCCATTTTGTTGCGCAAATCAGTCTTGACAATATTCATTGCAGAAAATACTCTTTCAACAGAAGCAGTCGCAACTGGTAGAACTAATGCCAACTGGATCAGACGATAAACCAATGGAAAAACTGTATTTTTACCAGTTTTAACCATTTGTTGAGCAAGACTTCCCAAATCTCCAACTTCTGAAAATTGAGGATCGCGTTGCACATTATAAATATAATTTCGAAGTTGAGACTCAAGATATAAATAATCGTTACTTGAGAAGTCTTCAGGATATAAATCAGCAAGACGGAGTAGTTTCTGCACATTGAATTGAGAGAAAGAACTTTTTGGATCAAGACATGCTATGCAACTAAGCAATTCCGTGCTAACTTCCGAGAAACGATTATTCATCTCTTGTATAATTAAATCAACAACCTGACATCACAACAATAATAAAATTAATAACTAAGAAAATCTGCTAACAAGTAACAAATGTAATGAAATAATAATTTCAAAAATAATACCTCACAAAAAATTTCCACGCGATAATGATGAAAATTAGTGATGGTTTGACCTCTGCGACTGCGCCTGGCATTGCCACGGATTGCTATACTGTCTTCCATATCAATCACGGGAATCATATTCAACTCACAAAAATTGTTGACTTCATCTAAAATTATTTGTCATCCCTCTTCCCTAAAGTCTTGCAATTGAGATTTCATAGTATCAATCAAACTCATGGCTTGGACAATATTTTGATCCCTTTGTTGCAAAACAAGTGACAAGTCATTTGTGATTCCCAATAAATACTTCATCAGGTGCAATGCAAAAACAAACTCATAATCATTCATTCTATCAATCAAACCCCTGGCCATACCTCTATTGTCAGAAGTGGTGGCATCATCTTGTATATTTCCCAATATTCCAATCACCGAAGCCCACATAGAGGATAGACGAAGTAATGTTAGATAGTGTGATCCCCAACGAGTATCCCCTGGTCTTGCTAAACTAGTTTCTTGATTTTTGCCTTTTCCACTAATAATATCTCCACTGTCTAAAAGTGTAACAATCTTATCATGTTCTATTTGTCTTAATTGATCTCTCCTTTTACATGATGCTCCAGTTAAATTGACAATCATAGAGACATAGACAAAGAATTCACTGACAATGATATTTCCCTTAGCAACAGCAACAATAACTAACTGGAGTTGGTGAGCAAAACAGTGAATATACATCGCATAGGGATTTTCTTGTAATATAAGGGCCTTCAAACCATTGAACTCACCTCGCATATTTGAAGCTCCATCATATCCTTGACCTCTCAATTTGGATAATGATAATCCGTGTTGCGCGAATAAAGAATCAATTGCATCTTTCAAACAAAGAGATGTGGTGTCAGACACATGTACAATTGCAAGGAAACGTTCAATCACACGCCCTTCTTTGTTCACATATCTCAAAACAACTCCCATTTGCTCTTTCACTGAACTGTCTCGAGACTCATCAACTATTAGGGAAAAATAATTGTCTCCAATATCATTGATTATAACACTTGTGATCTCTGAGGCACAAGCATGTGCCAGATCTTTTTGAATCATTGGAGAAGTTAGTTGATTATTTGCAGGAGCATTTTGATTTACAACCTCAAAAATCTCAGTATTTCGCTGGCTATACCACTCAAACAATTCAAGAAAATTGCCTCTATTTGAAGAACTAGTTGACTCATCATTTCCACGAAAAGCCAATCCTTGCTTCAAAAGAAAGCGGGTCACATCCAGAGCAGCAGTTAAACGGGTGCGATATGCAATATCTATTTCGCGCCCACAAGATCGTAGCACATTTGACACACTATGCCTTTGATCTTGAAAACTTTCAAACTGTATTCTAGCATCATTATGGCAACTATTCACAGCTCCAATATGTTCATTAAATCTTTCCATTGCCTCTTTCCAATTATTGAATCCCGTGTTTGTAAAGGCATCCTTTGCATATCGACCTCCCTTATTTTGTGTTTTGAAAAGAAAGCACCAAAAGCAAAACGCCGCATCTTTCGATATGCTATACTCTAACCATACAAACTTTTGATACCAACTATCTTGGAAACTTCTATGTTGTTTACCAAATGATGTTTTTGGATACATATGGCCAATCGGTTGGCAAGGTCCCCTAGTCAAATACTCTCTTCGGACATGGTCTCGAAGAGAAATATCAAATTTCTCAACTGATTTTCGTAATCCCGGATCACTAACAATATCATTTAAATTCAATTCCACACAAGATTGATTTTGAACTGGTTCACTAATATTAGGCTCATTTGAAGATTCACCACTACGAACTCGTTTAGGTTTAAAGAATCTCTCCATTTTCTGTCACAATTAAATAATTGTGGTTAAATTCAATAAAATTATGCAATTCAATAATCAATTAATTTAAAATTCATATAAATAATTCTTTAATTTAATAATAAATTCATATTACTTATATTTCTCAATTTATAAAATTCATTATATAAAATTATCAAAAAGTTAAAATAAGGTACAACTAAATACCCATATAATCTCTAATTCAATCTCATAAAATTTTGAATTTATATTTACATTCAAAATTTCTAATTCACATAATTAATTCTTAAAATTTCAAATATAAAACTAACAAAATTTTAAAAACTAAATACAACCTAAAATCTATACAATTTCTAAACTAATTTCTAATTTAAATTTAATATCATTAAATTTTTTAATGTAATCTTTCAAATTCTTAAATTACATTAACATAAACTAAATAAAAATTAATCTTAATCAAATTAATATCAAGATACTCAAAATTCAAAAATAATTTAAACATATAATTAACAAAAATATAAAGATGAATATTGTAATTTAAACCAAAAAACTAACCTAAAAGATTTATGTGAATGGAATGGTGGAGAGTTGGAGTCTTGGAGCCTTGAATTGAAGGCTTGAAGCAAGATGGTAGAATCTCAACTGAAGCTTCTTGGAGTTCTTTGAGCCTGGCGTCTTCTTCTTGGAGTTTGAGTCTTGTTTGCCCTTTGGCACTGGCGGCGTGCTTTTGCATCAGATGAAGCCTTAGGGCTTCATCTGATGTATTTTTTTTTCCCCTCATTATACAAAATGACGTCGTTCCACTAAAAGTGAAACGACGTCGTTTTGTATTTAGAGGGCAAAAAAAAAAATTCAAAATGAAATGGGTCATCTTCTTCCTCAGCAGTCAGCACGGCAGCGGCTTTCCAGCTCTTCTTCACTTCCTCTGCAGCATTCATGGAGCCATGGAGGATGGTAGATCTGGATCACCGTGGGAGGGCTGGGCTGGGCTGGGCTGGCCGCCGGAATCCCCTATATATAGGGGGTTTTCGCGCGGCTTGGGGGGGGGGCTTAAGCCCCCACCAGCCCCCCCCCTTAAATCCGTGGCTGGCTGGCACCCTATTCGAGACCTGCCATTTGCAAGGTCGGATGAGCTGGATAGCTTTGGGTTTATAACTTACCAATGTTAAGTGCAAAACTCAAAACTCTTTGCCGAAAGGTCTCGAGTACAATGTTTAATGTTTAATGTTAAATGAGGGGATTGTTGATTTTTCGGAGTGTAGACACCAAAATTTCATTTATTTTATTCAATTTTAGCTTTATTCTTGTTTTATTTTATTTTATTTTATTTTATTTTAATTGATAGTTAATGTTCATTTTTTTTATATAAATTAGGTTTATCATTTTCATTTTTAAGGTAATTTTGCATTAAATTTCTAAAAAAGGAAAAATTCTCACAAAAATTCAAAATTTGTCTTTATACCTTTTAGATTCATTTTTTTTAAGATAAATAAAATTGTGCAATGCAGTTACAATTAGGAGTTAACATTTTTTTGTTGTTTATCTAAATTGATTTTGGAAAAAATATATAATAAATAAATAAAAATAAGAAGATAAGTGTATTAGGGAATTATTAAACAAGTGTTTTAGGGGATCATTAGACAAGTGTATTAGGGGAATATTAGACAAGTGGAGTACATGCAAATAGGACAAATGTCCTCATTCTTGGTTGACAACACATGCAAGGGGTGGTTAAGTGGCTAGACACTTGGAAGTCTAAGATAATCTAGAAAATTTGGGAAACAAAAAAAAAAAAAAAAAAAAAAAAAGAGGGGCCGGCTAGAAGGGAAACTAAGGAAGAGAACGGGAAAGAAACAAGCGAGAGAGTCTTGGCTGAGGGAGGAAAAGAAAGCTAAGGTAAGAAACAAAGAAAATGGCAGCGAGAGGAAGAGCAAGATTGAACAAAGGAGGGGCTACGGGCTGGAGGAGAAAAACTGGGAAAAAAGAAAGGGGGGAACCAAGAAAAAAAGCTACGGGCTTGAGGAGAGAAAAACTGGAAAAGAGATTGGGAGAGGGTTGTGAGGAGCTTTGGGAAGACAGGAAAAAGAGAATGGCGGCTGGGGGTTGGAGGAAAAAAGCTACGAGAGCTGGCGGTGAAGCTTTGGGAAGAAGAAGGAAACTGAAAACAAAAAAAACAAGGGAAGCTACGGGCTGAGGAACCAATAGAGGGAGAGGAAACCAAAGAGAGCAAGGAAAAATCTGGAACTAAGCAAGGAAAATCTGGGAAAAGTTTACGGGCAAGAAACCAGAGGAAGAAAGGCAAGAGAGAGGGAAGAGTTTCGAGGGAGAAAGGAGAAAAAGCTTGGGGGAAATCTGGAAAAAGGAGGAAAACCAGAGGGAAAAGCTACGGGTAACAAGAGAGGGAGGAGATTGAGAGAAGGTGGAGGCTGCCAAGAAAAAAAGAAAGGGAGAGGGGCTGTGGAAGGAAGAAACCGAGAGAGCAAGAGAGATTGCTGAGGAAAAACCAAGGAAAAGAAAAGGAAGAAGGTGGCGGATGAGTAGGGAAAAGCAAGGAAAAGAAAGAAAAGAGAGGAGAAAAGAGGCGGAGCAAGAAAGACACAGAGAGAGAAGAGGGAAAAATAGAGGAAAAAGGAGATCAAAAGAAAATTTTTGCTGGAAGAAACCCTGGGCTCAGGCTGATTCATCAGCCTGATTCGTCTCCAATTTCTGATCATATTTCAGATTTTCAGGGAGGTTTCTTCGTTTCTGAAATATCCTGGACTGCAATGGAGAAGTTTTTGTTCAGAAATAATTCGGGAAAAACAACTCCAGACCTGTTGAATTGAAGCTTCAAGTCGCGGCACCGTCAGTCCCGGGAGAAAATTTTGCAGCTTCCCACCAGTAGCTTTTTCGCACTTGAATCTGCTTATCTTACCGTGTCACGTGTTGTTCCATCGTTCAAAACATCAGAGGTAATCTTTAAACTCTCTTCCGTCATACAAGTTCGGATTTATGACAGATTTCTTCCTTTTTGCTCTCTGCATTTTGTGTTCTTCCTTTGCTGTTTTTTCTCCATTTTTCTGTTATAATCTTGCGATAAAGTGTAGCATTTGATCTGTTTGACGTTGGGAGTTGCATATTTAGGTTGTTTTGGTTCAAAGTTGATGTTTGGTTGGATGTTTTGTTTGATGAAATTGCGGTGGGCATGAAACCCAGAAACGTTGCAGAGAAAGCTAATAAAGAAGAAAGCTTGCCTCGATGCTTTGCATGAAAAATTCCAGAAATTGCACTTTAGCCCCTACTTTTTTAACTAATGCCACTATAGCCCAGAAAATTGGAAAATTAATCATTTTTGTCCTTTATCATGTTATTTTTCTTTGATATGATTTAATGTGATTTTTGGATAGATTTTTAGTGAATTTTAGGATAAAATTTGAGGTTTAATAGTTTTGAGAGATTTATGATTATGATTTGGATTTTTAGTGAAATTTTGGGTATTTTTGTTGTTTAATTGTAACAAATGGTTTTTCATTTATTTTTTGTGAATTTTAGTTTTCTTTTGGTAGGTTTCATTCTTAAGCCATTAATTTTAATTTATTTTAATTTAGACCCCTAATATTTGTAATAATAATAATTTGACCCCTCAAACTTCTTTAATTATTTCAATTGGGTCCTTGTTGGTTTTAATTTATTGAATATGGGTTGTTTATTTTTATTTGAATGATTTGATTGATTCAATTTCGTGTTTATTTCCATTTCATGTGATTATTTGTTAATTAAAGCGATGTCTTGACCCTTTTTCTTTATTTTGGAGGGTAAATAAGGAAAACTTCACTTCATTAGGTCACCAATTTAAGGGAGGTATACTCTACTCTTTATTTTGATTTTACTTGATCCTATGTGCTCCTATGTGACTTTATGTGCGTAATTGCATTCTTTTTGAATGTTTTTATTTCATTTATTTATTTAGTCACTTTAATTGTTTTGATTTTGTATATTTATTTAATTTTTATTTGGAAGGCAATTAAATGCCAAAATTGTAATAGTTAGGTTATTATTTCATTTCATTTCATTCTTTTCCTTTTTAAATTGTTGTTAGGGCCCCCAAATGTAATAGTTAGGGCTTTATTTGCTTTGTGTGTTTTGCATGCTTATGTGTTTACTTGTTACTCGCTTTCTTAGAACCTTGCATCTAGATATCATGCCTATGTGCTATATGCTATATGTGATTTATGTGTTTATTTGTTTTATTATATTTTACATGATTTATTTGATTGTAATAAATGCATGTCATTACCACACTAGTCCAACGCTAGTTGTAGCCCCCTTTTCTTCCAATTTCACACTAGTCCAACGCTAGTTGTGGCCCTCCTCTCCGATTTCTCACTAGTCCAACGCTAGTGAGAGTTTATAGACATAGGCTAGTCCAACGCTAGACCCTTAGGAACCATCCACGCGTTAGATTATGTTTGTGTGACAAAGCACTACATTTCATGCATAGTTTCTACTTTTGTAGGGTTTTTTTATTTTACATGACATTCCCCTTATATGTATATCCCTTATCCCATATTTTCCTTATATGTATATTCCTTACCCCCTATGTATGAATCATGACATTAGACTTGCATTTCATTTAAGGAAAGTTAGAACTAGGTTAGATCATTTTGCTTGATTAGATAGGAGAAATACCCCTCGAATATGGGATATGGATGAATATGGTTTTCTAACCTTAGCACGCTCGTATTCCCTCTATTAAAGGGAAAATTAAAGTCATGAATTTTAGCCCCCGCACCCGTTATGATGCATTCCTTTAGATCATGTATATTTGTATAATTATTATTTTCTTTTATTTTCTTCGGGTCTCATATTTTTGCATATTTGTGACCTCTTCAAAGAGTCACTCTTGGGCATCACAATTAATGTGATTTGCACCAATCAAGCTTTTGAAGAGATATTCCGACCCCCGACATCCTCCTAGACTTAGGTTTTTGCATCCATATAGTGACATCCAAATGTGATAAATTCCTAAGTTAAAATAAGAA